AAAGTCATGATCGTCACATATTCATGCAAAGTCTCATTCCAATTGCATTCCGTGACTTCCTCCCAAGACAAGTTTGGGAAACACTTACAGAGATCAATGTGTTTTTCAGAGCCTTATGTTCTCCAGCCATTCATGTTACAGATATGGAGATTTGGTATACAAAGATTGTAGAAACAATATGCCAACTTGAAAGAATCTTCCCTCCTTTTTTTTTTTTTTTTTAATTCAATGGAGCATCTAGCAATCCACCTTCTATATGAAGCCAAAGTGGAAGGACTAGTGCAATTCCGTTGGATGTATCCATTTGAGAGGTATTACATAATGAGTGAAATTTCATACTTTATCTTGCTTTATTTTGAAAGAGAAGTTGAGACAAGAGGTGATCGCATCCTCAAGAATCTTGTCGGCCTAGGCTCTTCTATTAATATTGACCCTTCAATATTCAATAATTTTGGAAAACCAATTGGTTCTCTACAACAACAGCGAGTGTTGACAATAGAAGAGCGTAATGCTGTAAGGTATTATGTTCTAATGAATTGTGAAGAACTGAAGGGATGGATTAAGTGAGTGCATTTCCCTAATCCTTATCCTTAACGACATATTTGAGAAAAATGAACTTTTTGGAATTTATATATAATTATAATGGATGTTTGATTAGGGTTTTTGAAGAGGAAAAATGTCAAAATATGACTCCCCAACAAATATAGATGAAACATTTCAATTATCTTGTGCCATGGTTTGAAAAATCAGTAAGTTCAATCTTTAATTTTAAATATTATTAATTAATTATTATATTCTTATAACTAATAAAATAACTCATGTGATATAGGTTTTACATAATGAGTTTGAGGGCATTGATGAGCATTTGATTGGCTTGACTTGTGGCTCTTCTTGGATAGTTCAATGCTATAAAGGCTTTTGGGTTAATGGTTTTTGATTTCATATTGCCTCATATGGAAAAAACAAGAAAATAATGAATAGCGGTGTATGTGTCACGGGAACCACAGGAACAGAATCAGATTTGGATTTTTATGAGTTGTTGTAGGAAGTGATTAAGCTTCAATATGTTGACTTTAGACATCGACAAACGATTGTTCTATTTAAGGGTGATTGGCATGAAATTCCTCATACACCAGAAATTATGGTTGATCGAAACCATCGTTTTGTTGATATTAATCCAAATAGAAAACTAAGAACCTATGAGCCTTTCATCATGACAAGTCAAGTTAAATAGGTGTATTACACTCCATATCCATCACATAATTCTATTAGAAAGAGATGGGTTGCTATATTGAAATGTAGGGCAAGAAGTATTATTGAGATGCCAGATCAGCAAGAGGAACAACATGATGATTAAGAACCCATTTTTCAAGATGATGACACTCCAACTCCTCAACCAACCTAGTTAGATCCCATATTGTATGAACCTATTCAACATATTGATGGGACTATATCTGCCATTATTGTAGAATTTGAAGATGTGGATGATGACAGAGAAATTGAAGAAGACAAGGGGGAGGAGGAAGAGTTTGAAAATTATTATACATCTGAGGAAGAAAATATTAAATATATTTCTAAGAGTGATAGTAGTGTATCATCCTTAAGTCAAATATGCATGATGCATACATAGGGTGGGGGCTCTATTTCTTGTGAGCAGAAAGAAGTGTACTGGTAGGCTTTTCAAGTTTGTAATTTATAATGACTTTTTTTTATTTATATATATGCATTTTTTCTTATATGAATCAATTAATATATGAATATATTATACTTATATATATTTTCAGAATAGGTACGAGTGGGATCTTGTTGAGGAAAGTGCTATATATACAGCATGTTTACATGTTTGTGAGGAACGATATAACCAGATGATAACTGATATCCAACCTACATGTAGAAAGAAGAATTCTACAAGAAAAAGCCATACATGTCTAATGAGATTTGGGAGAAGCAAAACTACATATGGACGGAGGACCTACGGTTCGATGCACGCACAGAGCAAGCAAAGCGAAATCGAGCCAAAGGCCCGAGGGTAACCACATAGGTGGATCTATGGATTACGATGACTTAGTGAAAAAATTAGTAAAAATGTTACCTTTATCTTTTAGGTTTCATATCCTAATTTATATAATAATTAATCTTAATGTTAACTGTAATATTTGTGTAAATTAACACAGTAATTGAACACGTGATATTGCAGAAAGAAAAAGACCCTGAACATAGGGATCCATCATTCGTTAATGTGATTTGTGCAAAAAAAATGCATCATCCAAAGGAGAAAGATAAATTGCCAACATATATTAATGAATAGGTTCAGGAGTACACTATGAGTATTATTTCTTTCATTTTTATTCATATTAAAGAATTATTTAAAAGTAAGTGAAATTAGATTGCATTTTAATTTTATTGAATATCATAGTTGGAAATATATATGATTGAATGTATTTTTATATTTTATTCACAGGGGGAAGCTATAGTTTTAAGGGGAAACTCTATCAAATTTTTTTATGAATTTATAAGGAGTTGTGAAAATTTAAGTAATTTTATTATGATATTTATAATTATATTGAGTTTTTAATCAAGATTAAGTAGGGGAATTAATAAAAATTGTATAAATATATTAAATAAAGAAGAAAAAGGCATTAAGCTGGTTGGTGCTTCATGTCCAAAAAGTGGTTCAAATTATACGATTTGGTAGGGTTGATCTTGAATTACATTTGAACACATATGAATTTGAAAAAAAATAAAAAAGAGACCTCTTGGATATTAGCTAGGTCCGATCATGATTGGCTATTGATTTCCTCATAAAATTCTATTTTTTTTTCTTTTTCCCATTCTTTATGGCCAGATATTTTTATTTTTGTTAACAGAGCTTGTAAAGTTTGTTTTCTTGAGATGTATAAATTCCGAGAAAGTCTCATTTATCCATCCAATCTTATTAAATATCATGATTGGAAAAATATATATGATTGGAAATATATATATGATTGAAGGTATTTTTATACTTTATTTACAAGGAGAAAGTTTAGTTTTTAGGGGAAACTCTGCTAAATTTTTCATAAATTTAAGTAATTTTATTATATTGTTTATAATTATATTTAGTATCATGGTTGTAAGTATATGAATAAATATATAATGTTTTTATACTTTATTAAATGATATAATAAGTATATTATATAATTTATTACAGGAAAGATTAATTGTAGAGGCCGTTCAGAAATATGGGGAAGACACAACTTCATGGCCAACAACAGTTGACGCCCAACTTTTGTCCCGAGTTTTAGGTGGACCTTCCAAGGATGAGCAACTTTATGGAATGCCCATTTACATGGACCCTATTGAACAAGGGGTTTCACATCGTAAGCGTCCTCAATATACCATACTTAATAGTTCTGTTCAGTTATCTCAACGTGTGGTGCAATTGCAACAGACTGTGACAGAACTACAAGAGAATCAACTGACATTACAAGAGAAGGTTGAGAGGATGGAGAGGATGTTTTTCATGATGCAAGGAGGAGGAAGGGTTGGGACAAGCGAGGGACTGTAATTGCCTTTGTTCTAAGTTGATCTTTGTGTCAAAAATATCTTTTACTATTTATATGGATGGATATGTATGCTAATTTCTACATGTATGGGCACGTAGGACATAATCCTATAATTACTTATTTAGGACATGATACTGTTCCCTTATGATATTAGGTCAAACTTTATCTTTACGTGTTTGTACGTAAACTTTTAAATTAGGTGGTCTAACATATATGTAGAAATAACTTAATTATAAATTATTAGACTTTTTATTGTATTACTTACTAATTTTAGGTAAAAAAATAGAAACAGAGAAAGCACAAAATAGAAGGTAAAATCTAGAAATATAACAATGTGCAGATTAATTGAAAAAGGCTGATATATGTTGCCTGTATCAGTATATTTCGGTCAGTATAATTATCAAACAGGCATTCAGCATTTCGGTCATGGTTAATGATCGAAATACTCATTAATTCGGTCCAGTATTTTGACTAAATAATTAATCTCAAACCATAAAAGGAAATGTAATTTCAATTCGGTCAACATGTTTGACTGAACAGTAATTTCAATTACTTTGATCAATCATATTGACCATGAACTAAGTTTTCTAAAAAAAAAAAAAAAAAAAACCCTAATCATTGCCTTGAAAATTCACAAAATTTTTTGAATTCTCCGCTACATTAGATTTAGATATATGGTTTGACCGAAATAATTCCAAAAATATTTTCCCTGCCACATCCTTTTTTCAATTTTTTGGCGAAAATGTTTAAATTTTCTGCCCTTTTATTTTCGCTAATATTACTGACCAAAATAATTCCCATCCTATTTATACCATAACTCAGACTGTTTTCATCACTTCTACAACTTCACTTTGATTTCTTTCTTCCCTTCTCTAGTTCTCTCTTCTAATCTGTCTTTCTTCTCCAACTTCAACATTTTTTCTTTACCTCTTGTTTATTTAACTTTTAACAATTCTCTTCAAATTATCATAATTACTTCTTAATATCTTCATCTTTCTTTCTTTTTTTTTCCTTGGTCATCAATATTCTTCATCTCATGCTGATTTTACTTTTTGTCACTGTAATACCCCAAAATTTTTAGAGCATTAAAGTAAATTGGGTACCTAATTGTGAAGATATATCATTAATGAATGTAATAGCAAAAGTTTTCAAAGTTCAGGGGCAAAAAAGAAAGAAAATTAGGATAAGGATCAAGGCTGATATTTCTCTCCTCAGCCACGTGTTTTGCTCGTCCTCATCCTCTTCTTCTTCCTGACTCTTCCTCCCGACAGTCCCCCCCCCCAAGCCCCTCTAGCCACCGACTCATTTTTGAGAAAATTGGTGACCAAGCTTGGGATTTTCTCCTTCTTTTCTTGTTCT